CATTACAAACAGCTTTCCGGTGGTGCAGGTAGGGTTGTGCAATCTACAATTCAATTGGTACCAGATGGTATAATTATCATCTTGTTATCAAGTGGCGAAATTTAGCACAATTAAATTATCGCACAAGTGCAATTTTGCTCAGTATAGTGATTGGAACAGGTGCCGTTCGACTAAATTCAATTTTTTCAAACCCGACGGGAGTTTTGAAACGACTCACTTCACGTAATCAACTGCGTAAAGTGAAAAGTTGAACTAGTGATAAAATGTTCATGTAAACACCAGTTACAATGGATGGACGAAAAGAAGAGTGCATTTAGTGCTGCTTCCTCGATATCACTTGGGAAATCTGAACTTCAATCAGCCATTTTCCACTAATGAAGATATCAAACGAGTCCATTTCGTGACTTCCATCGTTGCATGATTTGTGACCATATTATTAGTTGCGTTTCATTCATCCGATTCCGCCACCGGAATCACTTCAATGTGTCGTTTTATTTGCAACTTTTCCGATTCAGATTGCTACTTTTCATTCCGTCTCACTACAAGGAATGATGTGGAATGACTGTTGACAGTTGCCAAAAAATAAAATTAGATTAATGAAAAACGAAACTTTTTGAAAGTAGGAGACGATCAGAAGACATTTTCATCTTGAGGTTCACAAGTTTATGATTCTTCGAAGTAAGACAGGTTTCAAATCTTCATTCCCAGATAAAATGAATTCTCTCGATCTCGGAGAACTTTCTCCAATCAGCATGAGTACTGCTCCAGATATGCGTTGATTTATTTTTTTGATCTTCAACTCAAGTATTATGGTTTTGAAATTATTCGGAGCAACAATATAAAAATTTAACCTCTATTATCTATTTTCTCATGCTAGATCATGAAGATTGTCGTTCTATTTGCAAACGTCATTCTCTTCCCAACACCGTTACCAGAATGAACGAATAAAACACAACGATTGTTTGACGAATACGTCAAAGTAACGGACGAAGTCAACTTGCTTACTAAATTTTGTACATAATCGGTAGAACTCATGTAGAACTGGTCATTATTTCTGTTCAAGCGAAATTTTCCATCGAAATCACGTGTTTTGCGGGATCTCGCTTCGCTCGTCCCGCAAAATCCCATCATTACACAAAATGACGCGTTTCCTAACTGGCTACGTAAATATCTATTACCTACGGCCACTATAGAAAGTAGGCAAGAACACACGAGATACAGCCTCAGTAGGTAGCTCTTTACGCACAGTAAGCACATCGCCAGGGCCATCTTAACAACAAGGCACGCGAGGCACGTGCCTTGGGGCCCCGGCCTCAGGGGGGCCCTGCACTAGTCTCAAATTGTTGCTTTCTGGATGCTGATTATTCCAAATTCTCATTAAAATTCAAAACCTACATAACATTATAATTATGTAGGTAGAAATATTTAAATTTTGTATAAAACACTTTCGATTTAAACGTCTTATTCAATTTCGTTGACCATCAGCCTACCCGACACTGATTTTTGCGAAGGTACACGTGACCGTATGACGTACACAACATCCAAGCTCCATATATCATTTCGTAGACGCGTAGACCGTATCCAGTTGGAATCCAACGGGCAACGAGTGCATGCATGCATAATGCGAGACTTTCTGGCGGGTGCCTGACGAATGAATACATTGCCAATTGCCATTCACCTAATATTAGTAATATTTAATATTAACGCGGTTCGGGTATTTTCGCATTTATTTGAAGTTGTTATAAAACAATAAACAATCATGTACAAAAGGGGAAAGAGTGGGAGTGAAAAACGTAAGAGGCAAAGAGAAAAACAATGTTCCAGGGAGTTGATGATGGCAAAAATACCCAAATTACAAGACTTATTTAAACCGAAAAATGAAAAATCCGATGATATGAACCAAACTGAAAGTTTTTTCTGTACTTCGAGCGGTATTTCCACTCAAGAAATAAATGACGTTATCGTCAGTGACGTGCGAGAGCAGGAAAAAGATGACACGTTGCCAGCCACAAGCATGCAATTGGACAAGAACGAATCGAATTCCAATGAGGAATCTTTGAAATCGGAAACAGAGGTATGTAATATAGACAGAAACGATCCAGCAACTTGGATAATCAATGAGTCGACAGTTGAATATATTTGCATGAACGGATATGATCAAAACATTGAAGGTGATTTTTCAAAATCTTCAGAAATTTATTCAACATCATACAACGAAAATGTGAAGAGATCATGTTCGAAGAACATATTTCTTAGACGAAAATTGAATGGAGAGAGAGTTACCCGAAAATGGCTAGTATATTCTCCATCTACAGGCAAGCTATTTTGTGTCCCATGCAAATTGTTTTCAAATTATTCATCAAATGAAAGTAAATTCGCAAAGGATGGGTTTTGTGATTGGAAAAATGTGACAACACGTGTTTCTGAACATGAGAACACTTCTCAACATCGAACATCATGCTTCAAATTGAGTGCACGTGGTAAATCTAGTCAAAGGATCGACCATCATATTTGCGAACAAATCGAGGAAGAAAAAAAATATTGGCGGGAGGTTTTGAAAAGGGTAGTGGCCACTGTCCAAATGCTGACTGCTCGCGGCTTGGCTTTCAAAGGTACCAATCAGAGTTTGGGGTCACCAGAAAACGGTAATTTCTTGGGATGCATTGAACTGATTGCCCAATTCGATCCCTTTTTAGCGAGTCATTTATCAGAATATGGCAATAGGGGTAAAGGAAATGTATCATATCTATCGGCAAACATTTGCGATGAATTCATTCAACTCATGGCAGATGAAGTTATGAATGTCATTATCGGGGAAATAAAAATGGCCAAATATTTTTCTATCAGCGTTGACTCAACTCCAGATATCTCCCACTTCGATCAATTGACTTTCATCATAAGATATGTTCAATTAAATGGAATACCAACAGAAAGGTTCATTTGTTTCATACAGAATGTTGGTCATAAATCAGAATCCATAACCGATTGTATTTTATCGTTCCTTGCCGAAAAAAATATAAACATAAAGTTCTGCCGTGGCCAAAGTTACGACAACGCAAGTAATATGTCCGGCGTTTATACTGGAGTACAAGCCCGTATAAAAGAAGTTAATCCATTGGCTCAATATGTTCCGTGTTCCGCACATTCCTTGAACTTAGTTGGTACATGCGCTGCTGAATCTTGTCCAGAGGCAGTGAACTATTTCAGTTTACTTCAAGAACTATACAATTTTTTCAGTGCATCAACCCATAGATGGGAAATATTAGATGAACATTTGAAACAAAATTGTAGATCAACTTCTCTGAAAAATCTCTCAAAAACCCGCTGGTCAGCTCGTGCTGATGCCTGTCGATCTCTAGCTATATCATATAGAGAGATTTATAATGCATTGAATACCATAGGCAATGATGTGAAAGAAAAATCTATGGCACGTGTTGAAGCAAATAACTTGGCTAAAAAATTAGACCGATTGGAAACTGCTTTGATGACTACCATTTGGAGTAATATTTTGAAAAGATTCGACCAAACAAACAAGAAACTGCAAAGTTCTGACATTGATATAGATAACGTTGTTCATTTATATAATTCACTGAGCAAATACATATTGTCGATGCGCGATGATTTTCGAATTTATGAAGAAGCAGCAAAAGATATATCCACTACCACTGAAACGAGATATGAGAAGGACTTCAAACGGAAAAAAGTGATGAATAAAAAGAACGAAGACAGAACGTCTTCAGAAGATGCCGCTCTAGCCATGGATGGAAGCCAGTATTTTAAAACAAATACTTTCTATGTTATAGTTGATACTTTGTGGGCAGAACTAGAACGAAGGGGAGCTGCATATAGAAATCTAGACAAGAAATTCAGTTTTTTAACTAAATTAGATTTGAATACTGAATTGATTATAACATGTGCAAAGACATTGATAAATATATATAACGAAGACTTGGAGCCCGAATTTGAAGAAGAATGTATACATTTAAAAGAATATTTGAATACCTTGGAAAAAGTATCACTGACCTTCAGAAATCTCTGGGATTTATTGAAAGACTCTGACATAAGACAGGTTAATATTAAGTGACTTAGGAGAACTCAAATATCGATGAAAATCACCTATTTTTCAGGTATTTCCCAACGTAGAGGTAGCTGTCAGAATATTCTTATGCACCCATACATCGAACTGTGCAGGAGAAAGGACGTTTTCAAAATTGAAGTTAGTCAAAAATCATTTGCGTTCGACCATTGGACAGGAAAGACTCAATTCTTTGGCACTTTTGTCCATTGAAAATGAAATAACAAAAAATATTGATTTCGAGGAGATCATAAACAGATTTGCTGAAATCAAATCAAGAAAACGACATATTTAGGTTATTTTTCTCTGCATTTCACTGAGTACCTGTGTTTCCCAAAAATTGTTCTTAGTTTTAGTTACTTTTAAATAGGTACTTACAAAATATTAAATTGCTTATTGAAATAATATATTCTTAATGTTTGTTCAATATGCAAGATTTTATTTTATTTGAAATGTTTCATTACCTATTTTAGTCTATTAAAAAAATATGGGGGCCCTAAAACATCTCGTGCCTTGGGGCCCCGAAACTCTTAAGATGGCCCTGCACATCGCACAGTTTTCTTTTATTCCGCCAGTATAGGTGTCATGATTGCGTAATCGCCGTCAACAGCGGATGACATAACTGTAAAAAATTATAATTCAGACTGTTTGTCCCAACTTTTTTGATGTACTATATGGCAGTAGGTGAAGTATAGTACGTAATGCGTGTTGTGAAGCAATTACGCACTCATGGAATTACGCACTCGCCGCTCCACGGCTACGTGCGTAACTTTTCCATTCGTGCGTAATATTCTTCTTACAACACATATTACGTAATATACTATTACATGCCTTTGGGCTATGTCATATCGTTATCAGATAACGGTCGAAATTTGCAGCCGGCTCTCCTACTAGTACAACCTCAAATCACAACACATCGAGCGGTTCAACTCTTGTCGCTCCTCCACTTCTGGTTGGCCTCCTGCCTGGCGCCGGGCACCAGCTGACTGCGCACGCCCTCCAACACGTTGTCGGTGGCCTCCGAGGCTATGATGACCGGCTTCAAGATCGTCGGCGGGATTTGGCGAAGGACGCCACCGATGGCGCCGCTGTAGCCTTTTTGTTCTTTCTCCTGGGACGCCACTTGGACTATGTTGTCGGCGGTCTCGCCAATACCCTGGGGGAAGACGAGAAACCCGTTTTTCAGGAAACTATTCAGGGTGTTATTCAAATTCAAATATGTGGCCAAACCACAAGGTGTGATTATTTTGAGAGATTCTAACACGAAAAGTTCATATAAACATAAGATACGTAGCCTCCGAGGCTATAATGACCGGCCTCAGGGTCGTCGTTCTCCAGGGACGCCACTTGGACTATGTTGTCGGTGGTCTCGCCTAGAGTCACTGGATGGTATTAGTTCGATAAGAGTTCGGACACAGAAATGACAACGGATAGGGTTTTTGATTTGTTAGGATTTATCAACTTACACACCTTGCATTGTGACAAGAGTACTATAGTCGTCCCACGCTTTTTCATTCAAAATTGTTTGAATTTGACAATAAACTTTATAAACGTCAGAATTGAAATAAAATTTCATAATTATACTTTCTAGAAAAAAGCAGCTATAGAAATCACTTGCTGTGTAATAAATTGTGCCAATTCTGAAAGAAATGGATATCATTTATTCTATTTTCCAAAACAAATATCAACCATTCGCTTATGGAAGGAAGATATGGAACGGCCTGGGTGGAAAATCAATTTGAAGACGAGCAAAATTTGTGAGGTACTCATTAAAATTCACTTCTTATAACAGCATCTGATTAGAATAAAACTATATTTTAGGCCCATTTTTAAATAGAAGATTTCAAAATATGTTTGAGAGAATCTGCTGTTCCATCAATTTACAAAGCAGGCGATTTCAAGAACGAAATTCCATTATTATCATCACACAAAATACAAAACAAAATAATCATGGAAAAAGAGGAAATGATAGCAAAATTACATAATGAAATTAAAAATTTGAAAACGAAACTAAGAAAAGCAAGTAAACTACAACGTGATATATTATTGAATGGCGTTTTTGGTGCCGACCAAATTCAAAATTTAACAGTGAGAAGTGAATAGTTATTTATGTACCAAGGGAATTATTATAAGGGCCTTAATTACGCTGGAGGTTATCGTTTTGGAGATATTTTCTACATCGATCCATGTTACTTAGCTCCTAGGGTGCTAAGTGAAGTTGCTGAGAACTTTACAAAACCAAGTATTTGGTAGGTCTCGTCAAAATAAACTACTTTTTTCCTATGAAATATTTACCGAAAAATGATTTGTTCTCTGTATTTCAACACCCTGATGTATCTCCGAAATGAAGCATTTCCGGACACAAGCTTATATAGACTTCATTTCTTAAAATTGTCTCAGGAATACTTCACTTGAACGTACTTATGTTACTTCCTGTATATTGAGAATACCTACCTTTAATTTAATATTGTTACGTTATTCGGGTGCAGAAGCGAACACGACACTATTTATTTTCGAACTGATTTATTTGAACTAAAGAAACACTAATTTATATCGAACTTATAACTACTATTAATGTAAAACGATTTATAACACGCGGTATATAACTGTCTCTCTGACACTTGCTGTTTGACTCCCCGACGGCAGTTATTCGGCCGTTTATATATGAGATAACTAGACAGGCTTTGGTTCGAGAACCTTCTCGAATGATCTTCCGTCTCCTTCTTTTTGTTCTAGAAGCTTCTTAGAACAAACCTCTCTCTCTAATTGTTCCATCGATTGTTTCCAGAACATTCCAGAATCTTCTGTGACGTTATCTGTCACCGCGGCATATATTGAGTGTTCGGAAATATGCTAGTGCATTGGGAGGTAGGAGAGCAATCTGGTATGCGTGATACAGGATGATCGTTGTACTCCTGCCTTCCTGCTGATGTTTCTGAAGCCCCTCCAAGGGGAATATCATTACAATATTAATAACTTCAAGTTTTATACTTATCACTGGAGTACAGTTTCACATACAATAAGGAATTATAGCCATATGTGTATATTTTCTAATATTAAAATGTTGCTACATGCATTCTTTTCATTTATATAACAGTTGTTCTGCTAGAAGTGTATCACTATAAATTGAAGTGGGTGTTTGTACCCTATACCCATTGTCCATCTACGGCTATGATTGATTTGACAGAAAATATAACCTCTAAAATCGTATCTGACAATTAGGCGCTACTAGCGAGATTGAAAAGACAAAGAGCAGAATATATGTCTTATTCTTTTATTCACTTAAACCATTGTATTATAGAAAATAGAAAATGACATAAGTTCAGCTGTGTCCGAACTCTTATCAAACTAATACCATCCAGTGACTCTAGTCTCGCCGATGCCCTGACAGAATACGAGAGGATCGTTTTTTTGTTGTTCATGTCCTTATTTTCTTTTCAGGATTATTTCTGGTGAAATGGATGCCTTCTTACTGATGGCGCATTTCAGAAGTGGTTCTTGTAATCCTGATGGAACGTGGACATATTGACTTCAAAACTGCCAGGAACAATTTCATGATTTCCAAATGCAAATATCCCATATGATCACAAAGAGAGAGAAACTCAAAGTCATTACCACATACTAGTTCATAAAATGAACGATAATGGTAGATAACGAGAGAAAAACAACTACGTATAAACGAATAAAATCGCAAGTGTTTCCTTCCTAAATCCCATATGATATATTTTATAATCACAGACTGCATATTATACAGCGTTTCGAAACAAAACACTGTATCTGCAAAGGAACATCATCTGGAAGACCAACTCTTCCAATTCCAACAATTCCATGGTGGAGAGTCCTCCTAATAAGTCTGTCTCAAAGTTGTCACAAGAAACAGGTAGGAAACTAATTATAAGGTGAAGTTTCCATGAATATATTGTAATATGTGCCCCCTTTCTCAAGTCTTTCTGTAGGAACTTGTCACAAGGCACTGAAGGAAAATCTCCAAATGCATCCTTACAAAATTACTAATGTACAAGAACTGTATTCACCTGATTTTGAAAGTCAAATTTTGATTTCCATAAAATGTTCAAACATTACATTAGGCCTGTGAAAGGTATACTTTTTCTTCAACAATTTAAACTCCTAAGAACCAACAAAGAAAAATCGTTATAGCAGGGTGCTATTTCTGTTTAAACTTTGTTTCAAATTTCAGTGAAATTACAACCCTGACTTTGTTTAGTGCGTCTATGTTTTATTATTTCTTTAACAACTTGTTTGCAAACACATTTTGGTCACGTGGTATCCAATCATTGATGTAGACCCGATATAACTTCAATGGAAAATTGTAGTAGGAATCAGAGTGAGTTAGAAATAATAATCTATGTCAATTGATTGAAAATTATCCTAAACCCTGATTGTGTAATTAATTCATGACTATAGGAGATAGAAAGAAATATTCTATGTTTGTTATCGTCTTTAATGAGGCAATGTATTCTGAAAAACTGCTCAAGTTTCAACTTCTCCTTCCTTTTTATCAGTTGCAATTTATTTTAATCATCAATTTTTCCGATTGAAAGACATTTTGAACCTGGATATAAGATGTGTTTGACACAAAATATTGCTTCAACTTATGCAAAACTGTCACAAGTCGGAATAAACTATTCAAATATATTTTGAATTCAGTAAAACTGACTCCAAACAAAATATGCCGTTGATGTTCAGGATGAAATTGAATTACCATAATAACAACAGTGACATAATTCGAGATAATACAGTTTTTAGAATTCACGCACAATCCACTCACTCGGATATAATAGACGCAACATGAGATGTGTTGTTTTTGATTATTGAATTGTAGGGAATTTGAGAAGCTATGACACTGGCGCTAATTCGTAGAAACTATTAGAACTACAATTCTGTCACTTTTAGAGATTGAGATTCAGACATTCTTCTACTCAATGCCATAAGAATCTTGAAATCCACGTTTTTTGAGTTGTGTCACTTTTGAAGCGGGTGTGCGATTTTGTCAAGATTTGTCATATGAAACCAGAATTTGTGGGATTGTTTTCCTTGGAATCCGAAAGAATTTCATAATTTTGTTTGGTTAAACTGTTATTTATTTATTGAACAAATAACTTCCAGACAGAATAGGCTCTGGTATAAGGAAGTACATAATTATATACCTATAGGTAAACATATCATTAAACAAAATATATCAACAACTGTAAATTGACAATCAAAGAATAATATTTAAAAAAAAAATGCATGTTCAATTTTATCCAGTTCGCTCAGAAATAATCAATTTTTTCACTTCATTTTTGAATGAACCTATGTTTCTGCAATTTTTTATATTGTCAGGTAGTTTATTGAATTCAGTTAAGGCTGAATGAGTGAATCTTTTTTGTCCGATAATGGAGCTAGCGGCGTCAAGATGAAACAAGTTATATTGTCTTGTTTCATGATTATGAATTTCAGAATTCCGTATCAACATAAAATTCGACTTCAATTTTTTATTTATGATATTATATGATATTTTGAGAGTTTCAATTCTATATATTTCATCTAAAGAATACGTATTTGTTATTTCAAACAATTGATTGGTTGGTGTATCAAATGGGAGACGATACAATACTTTTAACGATTTTCTATATTATGTTGATATTTTATTGAAATTGTTCTTTGAACAAGTTCCCCAAACATTTATTAAATAGTTGATACGACTCAGTATATGAGAGTAGAGAATCATGTTTGCAATTTTAATATCAAGTTTGGGACATCTTCTCAATGAACCAATAATTGGAGATATTTTTTTTGCCAGAACATATATGTTTGTCCCACTTCAACCTGTCATCAAACCAAATTCCAAGATATTTTATCTGGTCAGTTCATTTTTCATTTTAAGGTTGAGGTAAATTTTTTGTTTATTTTTTTGGTGAAAAATCATATATTCTGTTTTTTTAGTATTTATCGATAAAAGGTTAGAGTGGAGCCATTTTTCAAATATTTTCAAGTCTTCATTTATCATATTTTCTAAATTTGAAGGATTCTTGCTTTCATATAAAAGTACTGTATCATCTGCATACATGGTATATTTACTCGTGAGACCAATTTCACTGATATTTTTAACATAAAGTAAATATAGTATAGGTCCTAAAACAGAGCCCTGTGGGA